CGTCTTCAACTTTTTTTAGACAATTTTAACTCAAATAATTGAGCACATATACCTTAAACTATACTCATTTGCATTTGAATGTATGCAACACTTTCCTTTTTGATATATATTCCTTTTTGGGATCGACTAATATGAATCGATATATGATATCGGAGCTAAAACATAGACAGTGCATAAATAGCTAGTAACGTTATTATTCTCATTCCATAATAATAGGACTATATTTTGGGCATAAAATATAGAAAAAATGGTCTATATATTACTCTTGACACTTTTCAATTCCAAAAGTATTACCTTTTTTCATTTTCCCCAAAAATGTGACCTTATTTCATTAACTATGAGCTGCTAATTAGTTCTAATAGCTTTCCCTCACTCTTTCTCTTACTTTTTTTCCGCCTTTCAATAGTCTGTCACATAATACTCTCTAGTAACTAAGTAAAGTAATCCAATCACTATTCAACAAACCACGCTACAGTATAATTTCATTCGCATATATCCGGGTAAATACTCTGCACCAAACTAATACGAAATTCACTAAATCAAAATTATTACGTAGTACAAATGTACAATTCAATCAATACTAGCATGTAACACCTTATTAATAAGGAAAAAATGAAAATAATAATTTCAACTATTGTAATTATCGATTATTCACAAGTGGTCCAAACTATAGGAATCATTTTCTGAATATATTCCCTAACCAGCTACAATCAGGTATAGCATATCAATTTTAAATGTGAGGTATGCCTAAGCTATAAATAATCTCAACTATAGTTGATTTTTTTTTATTAAACCAAATTATCAACTCTCAATCTTCGGAAGATATAGGAATATTTTGATAAATTTCCTAACAATCTGAAAACGGTCCTAACCACAAGTACATTTTTCGTACTTTTCCCTATTTTTAAACATGTAAAAAAATTACAAATATTCTACAAATGTATCAAAGTTAAATAAAATACTCCCTCCGGCCTAAAATTAACTACTCATTCACTATTCACATGCTCAACTTAAGTTACTCTTAATCTTTTGCTTTATAAATCAAATTTTTATCAGATTTACATTTTTTATCAGGCTTTGTAGCAGTTTTAATGTAGTTTCTGAATATTTAAATTTTATTTATTAAAAATAATCTGAGTGTGAACAGAAATTAATTTGCTTTATTGTCAGTCAAGTATCATAATCCAAAATGAGAAGTTCTTTATGGGATGGAGGTAGTATTTGTTAATCATTTTTTGATTTATTTTCACTAAAATTTTATTTTTCATTTTTTCCAATTTCTTTTTCCAGTTGTGTTACCCAATTTATGATTTTGTATTAGTTTCCTTTATTTAAATTTACATTTTCTGTTTTCATAAAGTAAAGTGTGATTACATTTTTTGCGATTTAGAGTGTTATTCTATCTTTTTTCATCAAAATATATATTATTTAATTTTTATGCTATCTTAATTCTAAAAATCTAAATTTTCTATTTTTTCCATTTTAGTATTTTTAATTTCTTCTTTTTTATTTATTTTATAATATTATGTTCTATATACTATAGAGATTTGGGATATAGTTTTTGGAAGTTTTGGCTATTTTTAATGAAAAGTTATTAATATTATAATTTTAAGTGATGTAATGAAAATTTTAAAATATGTAAATACATTTTCAATTTTTGTAATTCAATTATACATTTTTTACAATTTCCATTATATCACTTAAAATTATAATATTAATATCTTTTCCATAAATATAGCCAAATCCTCCAAAACCTATGCTATATCATATAATTTATAGAATATAATAATATAAAATAAAGAAAATACAAAGAAATAAAAAAATGCTGAAATGGAAAAAATAGAAAATTTAGATTTTTTGAATTAAGATAGCATAAAAAAATTAAATAAATTATATTTTCATGAAAAAGATAGAATATATTACCATAGGGACCCTACTTTTAAAGGGGGCTCCTTTTATGATTTCTTTTGTAAAAATAATATATAAATAAATAAATAACTAGATAAATACTAATGAAATTAATAATGACATAAATGAAAATTAATATGTATTGCCTTTGAAATAAGGACATATGTATGACTAAAATGAAAATCATTTACAAAAGGTGACTAGGGTAATTCACCCTTTAAAGTAAATTCTACTTTCACCCTTTATTCAGTTACTTTGTAACACCTACACAAGCCCATATTTTTCTCCACTGACACAATAAAGCAAACACTACAAAAAAACAAAATGCATTTATGTGCAAATGTAATTATTTCTTCAATTTTTTTAACTCATGCCGCTGAGAAAAACCATTCATTTAAACTCCTTAATTGTTGTTTTTCTCTTGGTAATAAATAATACTTCGTACTAATTAAAGCTTTTTCTTGGAAAAAAATATTGCAATAGCTACCGGAGTGGGAAGAGACGAAAGAAGTTGCATGGAATAGGTATAATGACATTGTTCGTACACTTGCTGATAAATATCCTCGTGAGAACTTGCTGCTGGTCACACATGGTAAATATCTATTCTCTATATATTGATTTTAAAAAGGGGTTCAATTCGCATCTCATTTTCCCAAATCTTAAGGTCCTCATGATATAGTATTTATATAATTATATTAGATTTAATTATTTAAAAAATATAAAATGGTTTAAAGGAAAAAACTAGAAGATTGACACTAAAAAATTTAAGAGATAACTAAGTTTCATTGGACTTCAATAATCACCGTAGTTCTAGGGAAAATCCATCCATGTACTTCACTTACCTTGGCAAATTGCAATAATGTTGTTAGTGGAAATGAAATGATACTCCATGTCTCATTCTAGGTTCTTACTTTCTTTTTTCAGACGTTCCATATAAGGGTTCATATTTCTATTTTAGGAATCAATTAACTCTTAAATGACACATTAATCATCAAGTATAAAAAATAATGCAACTATAACATTACAGTTACCATCAAAATTATTTCTCAAACTATATGGTACCCTTAGGACTCGTTTGGTAGTTTACATGTTAAATCTTTGCAAGCAAAACGATTGCATGCAAAGTTTAGGGCCCGGGGAGCAATCACTTTGCATGTAAAATAAATTACATCGTTTGGCTACATATGTAATTTATTTTTTATTTGCACGCAAATGCATAACATTGCTTTATAAAAAAATATTCATAAGTATTTTATCACTCTCCCCCATGTAAAATACTTTACAAGGTACAATGCGAAATGTTTTTAAAAAGTGTCTAACAAATTACATTAAATAATCAAGTCAAACGGTGTAAGCTTTTTATATCCTTACACTTTACACGTAAAATTAGTATTTTGCATTCAACCAAACTTCTTCTGAAGGTATTGTATTAATGTCCCTTGTATAGATATAGACTAATCAATTTAATACAATTAAACAATTAAAATATAAATAAATGGTGGATGATGATGTAGACTAATCATATACTCCGTTCATCCCAAATTGATTTGCAAACTTTGACTTTTTGGGTCAAACAGTTTCATTTTAATCACTTAATTAGGATATCGCTTAATTAAATGTTAATTTGGATTTTGCAACTTTAAAGAGATCTTAATGTAGTTTCTGAATATATAAATTTAATTATTAGAATTGAATTATTTATCCATAGAGAGTAAGATAGTATTTAACTTTAAAATTAGTTGAATGTTGACTTTGCAAAACAAATTGGGAGAGAGGCAGTGTATTATTTACCAGTATGATACTCGATCTCACTTTTTAAATTGGATAATGTAGCATGCTCCGAAAACAATTGGTAAAGTGTTTCTTCATTATATCTCTTATATAGTCTTTCTATATGTGAATTCAAAACCTGCATATAAGGTACAACAACAACATATGTAGATTTGATATTGAACTTCTGGTAAAAGTTTATTAGCTTGTAGTATTACTTGTCACCCCTATAATTTTTGGCCACTACATATATATCTATACAATCTCAAGAAGCGTCATATATACTCATATCTACTATACAAATATGATCATTAGAAGAGTCTTCAATTGTTTGTGTACGAATTCATTTCCCACAAAATAAGAAGAAGCAAGAAGAAATAATACTTAATAATTTCAAATATTGAAGCTTAGATTAATAATTTTATCCTTATATATAAATACCCAAAGTATTTTAAATTTATATTTTAACACTATAAATTTACATTTGTTAAAGGAAAATATATTATGATGGTGCTAAGATAATTTTTTTGTATACATTTTGGGGTATTTTTATTACATATGCAACTTTGGGATGCTTACCTCCACCCCATAAAAGTTTGGGGTATTTAAATTATTTTCCCCTAACAATAATAATAGTAATAATAATAGTAGTAATAATAGTAGTAATAATAATGTTGGGTTAATGGCCCAATGGGGATTGGCCCATAAACCCTTAAAGGCCCACCCTACGAACTTCCCGAGAAGGCCCAAGACAACGGGTTAGTCCCTCTGGCGAGGTTCATCCCCAACGTGGCCAAAGAGCAGGGAACGTACATCTCCTAGCGTAGCAGGTACCTTGACCCAGGAGTAGCACGAGACGCACGTCTGGCAGGGACTTCAGCAGGAAACAGGAGGCAAGCTCATGGGAACAAACGTCCCATGAAGGCTCAAGCCACTAGGGATATCCTCCTCATCATCCAGGGGACGTACGTATCCTAGCGTAGTGAGGTACCTTGGCCCAGGAGCAGCATGAGATGCACGACTCGTTGGGACTTCAACAGGAAACAGGAGGCAAGCTCATGGGGATGAACGTCCCCAGAAGGCCCAAGCCAACGGGGATACCCTCCCCATCATCCAGGGGACGTACATCTCCTAGTGTAGCGGGTACCTTGACCTAGGAGCAGCACGAGACACACGTCTCACAGGGACTTCGGCAGGAAACGGGAGGCAAGCTCATGGGGACGAACGTCCCCAGAAGGCCCAAGCCACCAGGGATACCCTCCCCATCATCTAGGGGACGTACGTATCCTAACGTAACGGGTACCTTGGCCCAGGAGTAGCACAAGACGCACGTCTCGCGGGGATTGGGGACGAACGTCCCCATCCCTTGTAGGAACAGCCAAGATCCTGGCGGGATTCTGCATTTAAAAACAGAAGTTTTATCTATTTTTCCACTTTCAAAACCATTTTCCAAAAGAAATTTTTATAGTCGCACATACCAAGCGCGAGGTGCTTGTTTGAGACCATAGAGTGCTTTATCTAACTTGAAAACATGATTAGGGAAATCTGAATTTTCAAACACCTCTTCCTTAAGATAACCATTCAAGAAGGCCGTTTTCACATCCATTTGATGGAGTGTGAATCCCATGCGAGCCGCAAATGCAATGAGCATTCGTATTACCTCTAATCTTGCGACTGGTGCAAATGTTTCGTTGAAATCTATTCCTTCCTGTTGGTTATAGCCTTTTACAACAAGCCTTGCTTTGTTCCTTGTGATTTGTCCATACTCATCAAGCTTGTTCTTAAATACCCATTTGAGACTTATCACAGTTTTATTCTTAGGTCTTGGTTCTAGATGCCACACCTTATTTCTCTCAAATTGATTTAGTTATTCCTGCATAGCTAGAACCCAGTCAGTATCGGAGAGAGCCACTTCATGGTTCTCCGGTTCTATAAGTGATAAATAAGGAAAGAAAGCGCAAAAAATTCTATGTTTAGATCTAGTGGTTACTCCCTGATTTAGATCTGTTAAGAGGTTATCCAGCGGATGTGATCGATGATGCTTCCACCCTCTTGGAGCGTTTGGTTGGTCCACCAGTTCGTATAGGGTATCTGGAACTGGACCAGCAGGTTCTACAGTCTGACTGGTTGTGGTCTGTCATGGTTCTTCTTCAGTTCTAAACTCGGCTCGTTCGTTATCCAGTGGTTCCTCAAGGTTTGTCTCACTTTTTTCTTGGGGCTGTCTTTCTTTATGAGAGAGTCCTATATCTCCTTCATCATCTTGCCTTGGTTTTAATGAAAGGGCTTCGTCAAAGATTACATGGATACTTTCTTCCACGCATTGTGTGCATTTGTTTAGAACTTTGTAAGCTTTGCTATGACTTGAGTATTCGAGGAAGACTGCTTCATCACTTCTTGCATCGAACTTGCCAATGTTATCTTTCCCATTGTTATGAACAAAGAATTTGCATCCAAATGTTCTTAGATGACTAATGTTGGGCTTTCTCCCTTTGAGTAGTTCGTAGGGTGTCTTCTCTAGGAGTGGATGGATCATAGCACGGTTAATTATATAGCATGCCGTGTTTTGTGCTTCTGCCCAAAAGTTTCTCGCTAGACCACTGGAAATCAGCATTGTTCTAGTCATGTCCTCCAGGGTTCTATTCTTCCGTTCTACTACCCCATTTTGTTGAGGAGTTCTAGGGGCAGAGAAGTTGTGGTCTATGCCTCGTTCCTTGCAGAATGCATCAAATAGTGAGTTGTCAAACTCAGTTCCATGATCCGATCGGATCTTAATCAGTTGTAGTCCTGTTTGATGCTCAACTTTCCTTACAAAAATAACAAACACATTAAATGTATCTTTCTTGCTTGCAAGAAAGATAGTCCAAGTATATCGTGAAAAGTCATCAACAATAACTTAAAACGTATTCTTTGTTTCCCCGACTTCGGACTGACATTGGACTACACAAATCCATATGAATTAGTTCAATGGGCTTGCTTGTGCTCACAAAATTCTTTGTTTTCCGGTGGCACAAGCGGAACAAATGTGATCAAGGGAATATTTTATTTTAGGTAGCCCGACTACCAATTCATTATTTTTGAGTTTATTTATTAATGAAAAACTAGCGTGGCTCAGCCTTTTATGCCAAAGTAGGGGATCATTGCCAATAACGCTTAGGCAAGTTAGACTTATGCTTGGCAACAAGTCAAGATCAACCTTATAGGTATTTTCAAGTCTCTTGCCTTCTAGTATGACTTGCTGTGATTCGCTATTAACAAAGCGACATACATTATGATCAAAACCTACATTGTTACCTTGATCGCAAAATTGAGAAATACTAAGCAAATTAAACTTTAAACCCTTGACTAGGAAAACATTGTTTATTGCATGGTCACGTGACTTTCCAATTTTTCCCACAGCAATGATTTCTCCTTTACTGTTGTCTCCAAATGTCACCTTTCCACCGCTAAATGGCCGCAATGAGAGGAATAAAGATTTATCTCCCGTCATGTGCTTAGAACAACCACTGTCAAGGAACCAGTGATTGTTCCCCCTCACTCGGTGCTGTTCCAGGATTAAGGTTTAGTGCATGGAACCCAGACCTGCTTGGGTTCCATTTTGTATTTGTTTGAGGAAAATTTAATATGATTAAAGCTTCTTTCTAGGGCCTGTTGTCGAGAGTGACATTGATACCTAAGATGACCTTCTTTGCCACAATGCCCGCAAATTCGGCTATCATGTGTATCAACGTATTTGGTTTTCCAATTTCCAAAAAAATCTTTGCCTCTTTTATAAAACTCTCGGTTAGGTGTTTGTCCATAACCAGTTTGTGCTTTTGAACCAAT